TTAAACTTGCCATCTACTTTGTGAACCATAAACTCCTCAGAATAAGAACCCGATCCAATGATAGTTTTATAATTTTCAAACGGACTTTCTAATTTGATACTAAATTCTTTCTTGTCAGCAAATTCTGTATAGATCGAACCGGCAAGTCGGTTGACGTCCAAATAGATGATTTCGGTGGTAATATCTGCTCGTGTGTCTGTTATGGAATGTTCGTAGTCTAGTTTATGCTTCTTGACTGATCCGTCGAGTGGAATGTCCAGTTCTAACAGGACATCCACATGTTTGGCATCTGGAATAGTGGCTTTAAGGGCACCTGTGTACACTGCGTCATTAGTCAGTTTAACTTGGGCATTACTTGCAAATGACTTCAAGTTACCATCATGGTTGAAAGAGAGCCCAAGATTCCTGTATCCATCAAATTGTGTCTTAATATCTACAGCTCCGGTTATAGAATTACCTTCATGGTCAAATGATGTAGTCAAATTGATATTTTTATTATCGTAGACTCCATTCAAACCAGCATTGAATTTCGCAGACTGACAGCTGAATTGGAGTGAAAACTCACGTCCCTTGTTGTTGAACACGTATCCTATATCAAGTTGTTTACGTTTGCCATTAAAGTTAGTTTTAGTATCTAATACATAATCAGTACCACTAGAACCAGTGATTATAGTATTGAATCGTTCAATCTTACCACCATGTTTCACCGACAGCTTGATATCTTTCAGGTATGGGGTTTTCAGATCAAAATCAACTTTCATTATCTTCTTCAGTTTTTCATGAGATAATGAAGCTTCGATCATTTGGGGTTCTTCGCCAAACGTAAGAGTACCACTAGCTTTAAAATTCTCCAGTTTGCCTTCACTGTTGAATTCAGCGTGGATATTCCTAAAGTTTTTGAACGGACTCACTAGAGAGAATTTTCCTTTCATATTATCACGCATTTCGAATGTTAAATCAGACACGATTTTCTTATTGGCATAGGATAAGTCAGCGTGGGTTACGAAATTTGTTGGTGGACCGTTATGGTGAAAGTTCAAATACGTAGTTTTGTAATTTTCATATGGCGTTTTGACAGTCACATCTCCAGTCACTTTATTCGCCCAATCAAATTTACCATCAGCACTGAATTCTTTAACAGGTGAATATTTGAGTAATACGTGAGTTTGGGCTCGAGTGTCACTGTGAGCGTGTTTTACTTCCATTTGCAGATCTTCAAATCTTTTGAAAGGGGTCTTTAATTTTGCTTCCGCTTGAACTGTTCCTTCACGGTACAAGAACATCGTATCAGCTTCCATATGTCTCATTTCAGAATACGGCGTATCTAAGGTAAATCCAATCTTGAAGTCGGTCCAGGTGTTCAGATCGTACATATTGTCGAAAATGATTTTATTATTTGGATTTCTGTACGCTATTTCTATTGTTGAAGTTCTGCCTTTGAGAGATGGTGCCGATGTACCGGTTACCTCAAACAGTTCAGCACCTTCCAATGGAGACACAATCTTAAATAAACCATTATATTGCTTTTCGTCATCTTTATTCCAACTTAATTCAATTCCCATATTTTCCATAACTGGTATAATTTTGATATTGGCTTTTGAATAGAAGTCGCTAAGCGATCCAGAATATTCCAGACCTCCTTCAAACACCGACATTTCTTTGTAAGGCGTGTTCACCACCAATCTCAATTTCTTGATTTTCTCAAATCCTATGTTCGTTTCCACTTCCACCTTCTTGTCGAAATCATATTCAGCATAAGCTTTAGACACCCACACTCCGTCTTTTTTATCATGTTCAAAATGACCGAGCATAGACTCAAAACCGTTGAAAGGAGTCGTTACTCTTAACTCTCCGTCGTAATATTCTTTAGATTTTGATGTCAGTGAGCCATCTACCATAATCTTCTGCCTGGGAGCCCAAATAACTTCAACATGTCCAGTCTTCGTCTCACCATAAGGTCGGGCATTTAATTTGCCAGAGATGTCCTCTAGGTAAGGATTGCTGGTGAAGAAATCGAAATCTACACCTTCTTCTTTTCGTTCATAATTGTACCTCAACGATGCTTTTGTTCTCTTTTCTTGCTTAAAGTAGATGCTTCTTTTGGCAAAACCATCTCCAAAGTCGTGACTCGTTGTAACCTCAATTTCTTTAACAGGTGCCCAAGGACTGTCGATGATCAAACCACTGTTAATAATTCTTCTGACTCCTAGCTTGTGATTACTGTGTAAGTCAATATGAAGTCTGTCGCCATTGAATCCCCATTCTGTTGTCAGAGTTGATTTCAGGTTATTTTTGGTGTTCGCGTGATTCCAGTTGATTACGACTCGACATTTTGGTGAGGTAACAGTTGTCTTGCCATTGCCTTGGATGTACCATCCAACTTTGGACATGGTCATATCATTACCGAATTTATAAGTCTCGTCATTCAATTCTACAGTAGTTTTGGTGATGAACTTGTGGAAATCGTCTTTATGTTGCCCAGTTATTATGAAACTCTTGACTTTATCAAAACTGGTTTGGAGTTTAAACGAACCATCAATGTCACGAGCTAGCATAGAAACCAAAGCGTTTCCAGTAACCGAGGCTTCAATATAATGTCTATCCCAGCTTTGTTGAATTGATGTTGACACCTTTCCTGTTATTTGGTTGAATTTATGACCCACATCAAGTATAAGGGTTCTGTAACCTTTAAATGGTGTGTTAACCTTAGCCGAAACATTAAAGTTGTTCTTATTCACTGGTTTAGCTATTTTCACATCGGACGTAATTTCTTTTCCGCCCCATTTGACGCGGCCGACAGATAAATACCTGGTCAAATCTTCAGTATAATCGTAATTGAGGTTGACTTTCTGAAGCGGTTTAAATGGAGTAGTCATATATACACTACCACCAAGTTTCACATTCTGCCAAGCTTTCTGGTAATTGAAACTCGCATCAGCTGTAATTCTTTGACTTTTGTCTTTTTCAGCATCCCATGAAGTATCGAATTTACCATAATATCTGTCATTTCTCTTTCCACCTTCGAGGGAACCAAGTACTCTTCTGTATGGGCAATTGAGATCCAGTGTCCATTTACCGGAGGGTTTTTGGGTATTGACGTCCGATGATAGTCCAATACCGTATCGTTTACCCTCTCTATCTAGTGTCGATGCGAGAGAGAACTTCTTCAATCTGAGATCCACTTTTCCAGTAAATTTCATACGAGGTTGTTCATGAATTTGGATATCACTGGTGATTTCATGAAGAGTCGAGCTTGGATGTCTGTATGTTGAGCTGATTTCAGATCGCTCGCCTTTGTTCATCTGGACATTCAAGGAATGAAGATAATCGACCTTCTGAGTTTGTGTTACATCGGAACTTATCTTGAACTCGCGTCCAGGGTAATCCAGAGCAAAGATACCAGCCAACTTCATAAATCTTTTACTCTCATTCTTCAAACTGAAGGAAGCATTGACTGATTCTCCTGGGGCGTATTTCACAGACATTGTAGTATCAAGGTATCTTCTGTCTTGTTCGTGGGTTCCTTTGATGTGATAGTCTACTTTCTGAAAATAGAATAAAGAAAGAATTAATATCAGGCCAGAATTAAAGTTTAGGATTCTTGACAACTATCATTATGTCATTATAATATGCTACATACAACAACGGTGTACACTCAAGTAATAACAATATACCCCACTCTCCTACCGGCGACACGTGTTTGCGTTTTGTTATAAAGGATGCCAACTTTTGACGAATAGAATGGTTCCGTTATTAGCACTCAAATGGGCATTATAAATAAAACTGCGAATTACCTTTGGTGGATAGAGTGCTTTCATTGAGAAATCTACTTTCGCTGCTGGAATATTTATCTTATGGTTAACTGTACCAGAGACATATAGTTCCTGGCTTTTGTCCTTCTTATTTTTAACATTTTTACCATGTCGGACCTTCATATTGATCTCACTGTGGCGTATATTGTGGTTCAAATCTAAAACCATGGCCATATCATATTCTGGATTCTGTTTGACATCCCAATTACTGAAACATCAAACAAATACTATTTCAATAAACATGCAAAAATCGCCAGTCATTAGTTAGAAGGCCATAAGACGAAACAATTCTTAATTCTGGATTCTCTTTGACATCCCAGTATCTGAAATTCATATTAAGTTAATGAAAATAAATAAGTAAACAAGTAAAATTCGACAGGATTCATGGAATCTAAGCTCCATGAGAACTCTTTGCTAATATTGTGAATTTTGCTGAAGATCAAAGATATTGGATGAAACTACCATGGATCATTCGAGGCAAAGAAACAGAAAGAAAAAAGTTCAGGGAGAGTACATACATTATCTGACAAGTTAGTGTCCCAAACCTGCATTTACCACCCCCCCCCCCCCCCTCCTCCTCCCAGTTAATTAAACAAAATTTAACTTACGCATTGGCAGTGTATTTGTTGAGTGATTTGGTACTTCTGTCGTTCAGTTTACTACTAAATATTATCTTATTTTTATTTTTATTCTTCTGTTTATCACCCATTTCATGATAGTCAATACCAAATCGTGTGGACAGCGTCCTGCCTTTGGTGTTCTTTTTGTATATAATATTACTGTTAACTATTTTAACTACGATCAGTTGACAATTTAAAGATCCTGAACCTTTTAGTTTGACTTCGGTAGTGCCTTTCTTGGTGTGGTTAGACTTTGCTAAACTAGCTGTAACGAAAAATTTGTTTGATGAATATTCGAATTTGTTTAACATAATCATAATGAAGGTTTTTCAGAGCAAAACATGACAACTTGGAAATTCCTGACAGTTGGAATGGACATATTATAATCCATTGTCCTTGCAAGATTGCTTTCAATACATACTGCGTAGAGTTGGACAGTAGAATCGGAAATGGAACCGTGGGAGCACTGATCTTAACATGGGAGAGGGCAAGAGTTGCCCAGCTTTGCTCAACATATCATATAGAATGTCAGATTCGGAGAGCATTACTCAAATCCTTCATGAAGATATCAAACTTTCTCTGCTTTACTGTGAATAACAATCAGAAAATAAAAACCCCTGTTTAAGTTACCTTTAATAATAATTGGTTGTTTCAAAAGTCTGTCCATTTTTAGGGTCAGATCAGTTTTTAAGGATTTAGCTTTTCTGTAATCTGCTGATCCAGTCAATGAGACAAGAGTACCTTCTGGAGTTTTGATAACAAATGATGGTAATACTTTGGTAATGGTTTTCTTTTTCTGGTCTATTGTGATAGAAGCAGTTGTAGAATAAACGTTTTTAGGGGCAATAGCTACGGATGCTGATAAACTTTTCATCTTGTTACTGTTTACATATTTGCCTACAATAGAAATGTAAATCGAACCTCAGCTATAGATAATGAATATGTTTAAGGAATAAAAGCCAGCTTGTGATCACTTAAAGCATCCTCTGTCTGGTTATATTTATTTTATTTTTGTGCTAAAGCCAAACTGTTTCTGTCATGCCCTTAGAGCAAAAGTATGATCGACTGATGTAACAAAAACAGTGAAGTTCAGTGCTGCTTTAAGAGCACTTTGACATCAATTTAAATCATACCATCTAACTTGAAGTATTAACTGTAGCCTCTATCCATTACGTTCGGGGAAAATATCACACAGAACAAATGGGAGTAAGATCTTTAGACGGAAGGAGAGCACAAATTTGCAAATCTTTCACCATCGTCTTTGCTTCAATGTGACTTTGATTACGTTATGGATAACTTTATTATTGCGATTTTGCCACCGACCTTTAATGTTGACAGTTTTCTCAGTTGCTCCAGACAATTTGAAATCAGCTTCAATATCTTCATTTTCTTCAGATATAATCGTTCCTTTCAGAGCAATACCTTCTGCACCAGGTCTACGAAACTCTAAGACTGGAGTGTAAGTCGTTTCTGATCCTTTCTCAGCAATATTAACAAACGATTTTAAAGCATATTCATCCTTATCACTAATCAGGATGAGATTAACTTCTTTTCTAGCCTTGTCATTCTGGAGGGCACCTGTCAATAAGATACCGAGTTAATTTTGAAGCAGTAGGCCCGTATCCATAGGTACAAGTTGCATATTCAGAGGGGCAATGATGTTTAGTTTCAGTAATGGAATTGGTCGGTTGTTAGGAATTTTTCAGTGTATGGGGTGCCTCCATCTTTTTTTTAGTTTTTGAGTATTCTGAAACGATCTGCACGGCGTTTGTGATAATGATCAGATAAATATCTGCAGTAGTTTACTAACAAATATTAACTTTAAGATAGTATAAGGATTACCCTTTAGTGAAGCTTTCTTCCACGGTGAAGTGAACCCTGCTTCCAATTTTTTATCTTTATGATTTAAAACAAAGTCTAAAGAGAGAGCTCTGTCTGTTTTAGAACCTGGGGTATCCAGAGCTAACTGGGCTACCATCGCTTCTTTATTCTAGAAGAAAAACATTTCAAATCAACCAGTATGGTCAAATTGGAAAAAATTACAAACAAAGGATCATTTTATCAAGCTGGTCATCGAGGACCGAGATCGTGCTTCAAGCATTAAATCTGCCCTGGTATCCATATTGTTGTAATATTGTTGACCACTCCTCTGGTACACATGTGAGGTACAGGTGAGAGCTGACACTCGGCTGACTGTTAACTATAAGAGTTCAATACAGAATACTGTCTTTTTGTGGCAGTGGAATAATTATTAATGTTTACATCAGGATTATTCTTGTCATCTCAGTTATAATTTTGTATGTATATATCTCCCTTTAATATATTGTAACTCACCGTTATTCTTTTGGCAATGATTTTAAAACCATTAGGTATATCACGTTTGGATAAAGATAAACTCATTGTGACGGGGCCAGTGAAGGGGAAGTAAGGTGTATCGGCGTTCATGGAGGCGTTTGGATAAGAAACTTCACCACACACTTCAAGACCAGTAATAGACAGTAAATTGCTTCCTGTGCATATTTTTTTCTCCCGGAAATCTTTTCGAATCATTTTCTGTTCCTTTTCAACTTTATCGTGGATGATGAAAAACTTTGATCTAGTAAAATAAAATGACTTATATTATATAAAAAGAGTTTATGGTTAGTCGACAAATTGCAAAAAAGTTCTACATTCAAAAACCGGCAGACAAGAACTGTTTGTCAATTCCGTCCATTACTGTCTTAAAATGAAATAGATGTACTTACTTCATGTCGAACACCTCCATCTTTTGTTTTGGTGTGTCTAATTCCAAACTGAAGATCTGACCACGAGATAGATCTAAACTACCAGTTAAAGCTGTACTAGTGTGGAACGTTGATGTCATCTTTAAACCAGTTTTAGTAACAAAAGCATCCAAACACATAGAACTGGTTACCTCGACTGCAGCACTGGAATAGAGAGGAACAGGAAATTGAAGGCCGAGATCTATCTTAGGCTTCGTGAACTCATACAATACATCTCCAAGCTTCGATTCTCGACAGGATCTTTCTAGGAGCTAGCATCGATCCCAGGAACCTTGGGACAGGTATAAAAACATCCCGAAATAAAGATTCTTTCTAAAGATCCTATACAGGTATCCCAACTAGAATAGAGTGAACAAGAAATTAATGACCGAGACCTTCGTAAACTAATACATGTTCAGATTTTTTATTATATGGTATCTCACAAGTCACTGGCAATCATTTCTTCTGATATCGAAATGTACTTTTGATGACAGTGTTGGGTGTTTCATTCTTCTTCCAGAACAACTGATGTCCATCCTCGGTTTAAGTATGTCAACTCGCCCTTGTAGATGATATGACACTGTTTAATACTTTGACAATTCTTACCTTGGTAACAAACTACCATGAAGATGTAGACTTTTAGGTCTAGCAGCCAGTTTCCTCAGATCAACGTTTCCGGTTGCTTTCACGATGGTAGAAGCTGTACCATTAACAGTTAGATTTAAGGGTATACCAGAACTAGTTGGGATGATCAAACTGCTGTCCAGGAACATGATGCTTTGTGTGAACGAGGTATCGTGATCTTTGGATACCTTTATCAGATAATCTAGGATGTTGAATTTACCACTAGCGTCTCTATTGTCCTCCAAACCATTGAAAGTGGAATATTTCAATTCATTACCAAATAATCTTAGATACATTGAACCTCGTAGTTCTTCTTTTAGAGAATCAAACTGGAATAGAAGAGACAATTTAACCTTCAATGCAACCCGTCTGATACCGACCAACATATTTATTTTCAATCAGATTTCCTTGTGCACAAAAGCATTGTTAAATAGGTCAATATGTTAGTCCAAGAGCTAGCTACGGGTAATTTGGGTGGGTGTTTTAAATCTATTAAATGGACGACTCGTTTTTTATTCAGACTTTGCAATATAAAGCAAAAAGGCACATATAGTAATAGAACGTGAAATTTCTCGTTTAAAGTATATTTAAAGGAATTATGCTGCGATTTTCGTGCAGTTTAAGTATTTCTAAAAGCCATTATCTAGATTTAAATCAACCCCCGAAAATGGCCCACCATGGCCATCAGTAATGTACCATTCGCTTAAAGTATTGCATTAGAGTTAATTCTGAAACATTATAAATATACGAAGATAAGTACCTTTTTCTTACTCCTGTCTAACTTTTCCATCTTGATACCACGTGACTTGTGATATTCTGTTGGTTTTCCCGGTGGTCGGAATAATCCCTCTGGTCCAAGGTAGGATTCCAATAGATACTCTATACCCTCAATACGTCCACCCAACTCAAACAGATTAATCGATTTACCAAATAGATCTACTGTTAGATTTAAATTAGCTGATCGTGGTATAAAGGATTTAGGAGACCAGATCAGGTTGCTCTCTACCATTGCTCCAACGTTATATCTATTAGAGAAGAAGGAACCCTCATAATTCCTGGAATATTTTCGTTTATCCAGGTCAAAATTTCTCTTAAGAACTTCATCTTCTAGAATTTCTCTCACTGCTTGTTTGTGTGGACTTGCTGTTTCCATTAGGTTCGTCAAATGAGACCAGATGAATGAACCGACTTGATTCACATGCTCAGTCTCCAGTCGTTCTCGTACCATCTCCAGTGTTTTAACGTCTGGACATTCCATCATAGTTACATAGGCCGTGATTCTTAATTCTGAATCAGTTTCTTCATTCATAAAGATCTCTTTAACTGGTTGACGCTGGAAAGTAGACAAAATCAATTTGAGTGATATCCTTATACAATTTATAATGTCGTGTAAGTGGTGACTTTTATGAGCAATGATGTTTCTAGGAAAAAATTAGATGACCGAAAAAAGCCACAGAACTGTCAATTGGGGTAAACAGCACCAAGAATTTAAGATTTCAATGATAAGAAATTTGAAACCGTTAAAACGCCACTGCATATAAGAAAGGTGCGTGTTCCCCAGAAGTAAGTGCTGTATTTTTCAAGGATTACATCTAGGGTTATAAAGACCGAGCTATTCCCATGTCAACCAGTCCTCTTAGACATCCCTTCTTCGAGGAACAGATGAGCTAACAAAAACAATTCTTACGTCAACGGTACAAGGCATCCTTCTGTATGCCTGTAAAGCTGCAATTCTTATATCAATTGGTTTATCACCACTTTCGTAACATTTCTTGACAGATGTTGCTAGTCGTTCTGATCGTCCTGCATTACCAATGGCCCTCAGTGTTAATAGTATCTAAAAAATAATAAGCGTGTTGGTCTTATGATCATGACAGTATAGCAGGGCTACAATTGTCAAAATATTTTATGCTAGGCTACATAGCGCCTCATTACCACCTCCCCCACCCCACGCCTAAAGGAAATTACATTCTGAAACTACGCCCTTGGAAGTTATTACCCCCAGGTTGAAAACCCCTGCAGTAGAGATATTAACAATGTTATATGTAGAATTTTGCAACTCCATTTGACATGTTACGTTATGAAGCTATCCATCCATATTGTTTTAGTACCAGGCCAATTGAGCAAGCAAGTGACTCTATTTAAGTTCAAAGCCATCCTTAGATACACGTGTTTCTATATATTTTGCATGTTAGCTTAGCCACATTGATCATATCCTTTTTCAAAAATCCTTACCATTTCCTTTTGTTTTTCATCGGAAAAATCACAGTTATAGCCAATATTTAGCTCCAGTGCTGAGATAATACTCGAGATCTCATAATCGTCTAGGCATCCTGGATTCTCTTCGCAATAATTGTTCATCATGGCACTGACAGCGAGTAAAGCCTTCAAACTCACTTCCGATCTTCTTTGTCCGAGTAATGGCTGTTAAATAAGATAATTGTTATTTGCTTTTACGTCTCAAAGTGCATAAGAGAACAAGTACAACTTCAGTAAGTAGCTGTCTGAAGATAGCTCGGCGATCTGAGTAACAACACGTTTCGGGCTCTGTTTTGATATAATGAGAACTTTTTTGTATTTTATTCATTAACGGAAATGAAATCAAGGCAACAAATTTGCATAGTTCTACACATAGATCACGATTTTGAAATAAAAACATATTTTAAAGCCGTGTCAACCAATATCATGCACATGTGAAGAAACTTTCAAGAAAGAAGATCGAATAAGCAGATGTAACAAAGGCAATATAAAGTCCTTTTCAGATCTGAGTATATAGCATCATGTTAATAGAATATACTTACGACTATTTCAGCAAACATAGCTTTATCAGGGTTGGTAATAAAAGCTAATGATGTCAACCAGAGTTCAGATTGTTCCTTTGAGACTTCATCTTGTAGAATTAATTCTCGCATCAATCTTATAGCATCGCTAGTTTCTATCATTGGTAAAGCATCAAAGAAAAATTTCCTAGGAACAAAAAATAAAGAAATATCTACTTCCTGAAAGATTATCTCATAGCTTATGTTGTATGTCTACATACCTTGTCTTGCTTGTTCAGTTTGGTCGATCAACATTTCCACAATAATTTCATGTATAATATCTTTCTTATGTATAACCGGAGTGCCTAACTTGTTATTAACATCTAAATATTGAAGTACTACAGTGAAGCACTTCAAGATTTCATCTCCGTAAACATAGATCCTGTATCCACAATGTCAAGGTATTACGAACTCAATAATTGACGATACAGATCTCCATGCCAGGGGTAAACCGTTTTGATTCAAACTACATGTACTGTAAATTTGCATCTTTGGAAAATAGATTCACAAATTTAACAATATCATACCTTAATCTTTCCTGGTTATTGTAACAAAGTTGTCCAGAATTCACTTCATTATAGACTGTTTGTAACCATGACGATTCCATATTTTTCAAAATATAAACCAGATCAGAAAACAACCGTGGAACCTCTGGGCGGATATCGAGTATAGTGGATTCACAGATCTCACGTAGCTTGGATGTTGCATCTCGAACGCTCTGAGCCTCTCCTCGTGGTTCAAAGGTATGGTCAAATTTCATGGTGGTTCGGTCAGTAATCGTACCTGTAAGATAATCCAAATTTGCATTTCAATCGATTAGTTTTAAAATCCACAACAATACCCGATCCAAGTACAAGTGTTAACTGTCCATCGAAATATTCATCTTCAGCACTGCAATCCAAATTGCTGTGCTCGGTTGAATGTCTCACGAAGAGTACGACTCATGCCAATGTTGAAAAATATTATAAACATCCACCAATAACCCATCCTAGTACAACATGGTACTACCGATGGAAGTAGAATCAGGAGTTGAGTTAGGTAATGCTGGAACACTTCTCGGGAAAGTTTCTATGTCTTACACAAATACCTCGCAACTAGGCAAAATATTGCTATGTGAACATAGTGTTAACTTCTTGTTTCTAGAAAGTAGTTTCACAGATTTAATATAATTGAAGTATGCATCGTGAACAGTCTGATTCGTAAGCATGTTTTGATGTAAATGTACTTCAAATATACATGTGCGCCAACTGGTACCTTTTTCTCGAAAAATTGAATTAAAATGATTTTAGTGTCAAACACTTAAATTATTCTCAAATTATCCAATAAGATTAAAGTATTTTATAAAGAGTTGGAGATTTTTCGAGAATACGACCCCTGATGTTTACTCACCCAATCGCCTCTGTCTGCTGATGGTAGTTTTTGTAAATTCCAGTCTTTGATTAGATTCTGTGACAGCACCATTGTTGTCTTTAGAAAATGGTCTGAATATATGCATTTCATGACAGGCAGATTTCTTTAAAATACGCTCCTTTGTTATTTCTTGATCACAGTCATGGACACTTTTCATTAATGGTAATGATTGGATGGACTGAAATAAGGAATAAAGAATAAAAATGTAAAGACCTTTTTCGGGATACAGAATTGAAATATTTAGCAAACGGCGTTTCAAGCTAGTAATTATAATTATATTGAGAGTCTATATCCCAGGACTGGGGTACAAATAGGGGAGAGACTGACTTAATCGGGGACAACCTGTCGAGGTCGGGACTCAAAATACGGCGGCTCTGTGGAAGCGACCTAGATGCAAGCTCCTAAGGAAACTGCATCCTTTCACGTTTTAAAAAAATGATGTTGATCGTTAAGAGACACCTATTACAAAATTGCTCTGTAATTGTCTATTGGAATCTGGGCAATTTTGGCTTTCATTACCATTACATTGGTCAAAAATGATGAAATGGGGTTTTACGCCATACGTTTATTCTCTTGATAAGGGTCATAACAAATATAATTTAAAAGCAACTTACATGTGGAACTCTATATGATGCGGTACGAACAGCTGATTTATAACCATGACGATCTCTACACCCTAACAGATTTTTAGATTTTTTAATATTAGTAGAATACCAGCCTTTCTGACTAACAATATAGTCTGTATCACAGGTACCCGTTACATCTTCCTAAAAATAAGAAACAGGAACTGTGTCCACATTGCTAATAATCTTATTGTAATATCTGTTTTGCTCAATGTTACTCAAGTTCTGCGATTTTGCGAACGTTTTTTCTGAAGACTGCATATATTTGTTATGGAAGACGTTATAGCAATTGCGTTAACAAGACGTAGACCTTGTCGGGGAGTTTAGCTGATTCTGTCGGATATACAGGAAGACTTGATTGTTCGGTGTGGAAAGTAATATATCCCACATGGCAATGGTGTACGGTGTTTAGTTGCAGTAATGGAATTTTTCGGTGGTCAGAATTTTTTCAGAGGGGCAATCAAATTTTTTGCCCAGCTGCAGCTAAGGGCCTGTTCGGATAACTGGTTTGATAGATAATTATTGGATTCTGTGCCTATTCGTACAATCGACTCTAATTATATTTCAGGAGAGAGGTTTAAGAGTTCTTGAGTACGTTTCGAATTTCGTTCTCTTCATTGTTGTGACCTACCTCATGAACTCGCTCATCTCTCTTAAGATCTTTCATTGTGTTCTGGAACATGGAAAGAACACCTCTCTTGATGTTCAGACTCCATTTTGACTCGCCGTATTCAGGACACAACTCGTCAATAGCACCATCCTGGAAGGAGAATCTGAGAGGATTTGCTTCCAGTGTGTTCCGGAACTCGCCTCTCTCATCAGCAAACTCCAGATTCCTTGGTACTTCTGGGTTGGATCTTTTGATGCGGACATCACTGAGCTAAAAAAGTAAATTTAAACTTTTTACTAATTCGAACTGATATTGTCAAATGAAAACCTTGGTGTTTTTTCAGTTTTATTAACGATGGTCCCTGCTCTTTGTCCTATATATAGCTTATGACGATGCTGATCTACGAATAAAGTATAACGTTTACCACATGGCATGGCACCATGAATATTGGTAACCATTCATAGGATGGTTCATTTAGGTTGGCTGCTCTCTTGTAATTTTAAAGTTTAAATGGCAGTGATCAACTGTACAGGTATAAAGAGATCCTTACCGTTAGAGATAAATCACAACTATTAATGACATGAATATGAGCAGTAGCTGAGATTTCTAATGCAGCATGATCTTCACTGGCACCAGCCATCGCCGTCCGTGTAAAAACTTCATAGTCAAACTCATAAGTCGTGCCAACTTGGTATTTAAACTTATTTGAGTCTGCAATGAAGAGAAAATAGTATTTTGGCAATACATAAGTGGTTTTGGCAATACAATATTCTATTTAGTTTTAAATAAAGCAAATGCGAGATGCGTTGATTTCCCAGTGTAAGTGGACATATCAAGTCCCAATAAGCGTTTCTAAAGAGCTGTAAGCCAAGTTACAAACTAAGTAATTAAACTTTTCAAGTCACGGCAAACCGGGAAAGTGAAAAGTAATTCTTGCTGGTGAATTTAAAACGGGTCACTGTTAAACGATTAGCGAAACGGATTAGTTAACCGAACCGGGATAGTGCAACGACATAAGTGACTTAAAACCAGATTACGTACCAATTACTACTTAAAAGCGCAAACAAAACTGAAACAAGTGTAAACAAGGGCAAATAACGACAAAAAGCACAGAAAACATGAATTACATCAATTTACATGAAATCAGGTCAGTGATCTATCAGTATCAAGTCAAGGTGACGGAAACAGATCGAGGTGACATCAAAACATTGTGAGGTATACTTGACTCAGTAGGGACGCGTACAGGAAACCAGGCATTGGTCATATGATATAAACTTCTTCACTTAGTTTCCGTTTATAATATTACTAA